GTTGATGATACTTCATTGAAATTGCAAAACTGTTATGTAGCAACACCATGTTATTGGAAGAGGCACAAGTGTTTCATTTGTGTGATGGGTTGACTGTGGCTAGATGCCAGGTGCCCACCAAAGCTTCTCTATCACTCCTCTGCTAGATGGGGTGAGAAAATATAACAAAAGGCTCATGGTTGGTATAAGGACAAGGAAGGAGATCATTCACAGTTACTGTCATGGGCAAAACAGACTCGGAATTACTCCAGTGTGGGGTCCCTCCCACAGCAGACAGTCCGCTACAAAATTCTCCGTGTGAGTCCTTCCCATGGGCTGCAGTTCTTTATGAACTTTACGAACACTTCCATGGGTGCAGTCCTGCAGGAACAGACTGCTCCAGTTTGGGGTCCTCTGTGGGCAGCAAGGGCACAGCTTGCCTCACCATGGGGTGCACCACTGGCTGCAGGGGAATCTGCTCTGGTGCCTGGAGCACCTCCTCCTGCACTGACCTTGGTGTCTGCAGAGCTGTTCCTCTCACACATTCTCACTCCTGTCTCTGGCTGCAGTTGCTCCAGCACAGTAACTCTTCTCCCTTCTTAAATACATTCTCTCAGAGGTGCTACCACTGTTGCTGATGGGCTTGGCCTTGGCCAGTGATGAGTCTGTCTTGGGGCCAGTTGTTACTGGCTCTGTTGGGCATGGGGGGAAGCTTCTATCAGCTTCTCACAGAATCCACCCCTATAGCTTCCCTATTCCGCCCCCCCACCGCTACCAAAACCTTGGCATACAAACCCAATCCAGTTGGTTTTCAGTTGATTCCTACGTGTATAAAAACTACTCTGTGAGCTGGGGTGGAACAAATGGTGTTGGGTTTCTCATTGCTCGCTCTTGTAAATGTAGGTATGTTGCAAACAGAATGTGTACGCATACATTAGCTCAAACTTCCCATTTCTTTTCCTTGTCCCACTTGTATAATAATGAATAATCATTACTTTTCCCTGAGCTTGGCTGTCCACAGGCCTGATTCCCTCTACGTAGGTTTGAGGGTTGGATTGCTTCAGTATGCTCTAACCTGTGCTGTAGAAAAAGTGTTACCCTGTGACTGCTGTACAGAGCTGCAGGGCTGCTATTTGTTAGGACAAAGCAAAGATTATTACCTTTATCCACGTTTATACACTGTGCTTTGCACAGTTGTCATTGTGGTTGCAGCTGATACAAATTTTGATTTATTGTTGCACTGTTAACTCTTGTACATTATGTGGTGTGCACAGCATGTGTTTTAGCAATGTGCCAAAGTCAAAATGATAATAATAGAAGAAGATTAGCCCAGAATTTAAATGTGGTGAAAGTGCTCTTTGGACTACCGGCAATGAGAATCAAAGCAAAAAGAGAAACGGGCTCCTTTTAATTTAACAGGACAAGAGTAAATCACAGCTACTACTCATTCCTTCATTGCTTTTCTTCAGGTGACCATGTGTCCCTTTAACTACATGGCTGAATTGAGTACAGTGTCCTGCTCACAGCCAGGATGCCCAGGTGACTGCAGTCTTACCTCTTCCAACCAATAACCCTGCTTCTACCCTAGCAAAAGCCTGTTTTCATCTGCAAGGCTCCCTGTAACTCACCCACATGCAAATGCTTATGACCTTAATTAAAGCAGTTCACCTCTTTCTGCCTCAAGGGATGGTTTCCTCATAAGGCAGTTGTGTTTAATTAGCATTTGCATAGCATTCTGCTGGTTGCTTTCCTGGAGCGTTGTTCAGTAGGAGCGTGGGATTGCTGAAGCCTGACTGGCAAGCTTTGCACCCTCCTAATTGACACAGAAGCCAAGTAGAAGTTACACAAGGAAAGAACAGAGAATCGTTAATGATGGATCATTAGCAAGTAGCTCCTTTGAATGCATGCAGATAACTTTATAACTCTATCAAAGTGAAAAGTAGCGTGATGAATTATGCATCAGACAATAAAAGCTCAAGGAAGACACTGGTTTTATAATTGCTGTTCAATTTTCTAGCATGCTCTAGTTTGTAAGATTAATTTTCTTTGGGGAGCGTGAAGCATTCTATGCCTGTTGTACACTTAATGTCAGTTTTGGGTTTCTCTCATTAGAGGTTTTATTCTGTGTCTTTTCATATCACTGCAAAAACTCCCAGGGTTTGAGAGGCACAGGTTTTATACTAGCAAAAATGTTCAGAAGTATAGCTACTAAGCTAGTTCCTTTGAGGATTGCTGATGTCTCAGTATAAAAAGTTCTCAGATACATCTGAAATAAGATTGCTTTATACCTGTATATAAGTATAATTTTTAATAGAAATTGCCCAATCGTTTTGTGGCTTTGTTGAATTTCTGGACTAATAAATCTCTAAGGGGCATTTTTGCTCTGAAATTATCTTCAGAAGCATTTCAGTTGGCACAAATAGACCATTCCTGTGGCTTGCGCTAGTGCCAGTTCAGCCCTCAGTCAGTCCTAGGAAGAGGAATTAATACAAATATTGCCTAGTGATGTCACCTGTCTCTTTAAAATGTACTGATCTCTCACTTGAGATTTCCTCTGAAAACTGAACTGTATTCAAAGTGAGTAGAATTAGAGGAATAAGTTAATTGAAAAGTTATCCCTGATGTGGGCTGTATCTTAGCTTTGATGACTATTAGTGGTTGAAAGGACTGTGAGAGATCATCTGATCGATCAGTAAGCCTCAGGGATGAGCCATAAAATCAGCTATGCTTGAATAATTCTTGTTGCTGAAGACCTGACTAATAAGAACTCCACAGCCTCCTCGTATGCCCTGTTTCAGCATTTTTCTATCCCTGCCATTATAAACGTTTTCTTTTATAATTTTCTAGTACCTCACTTCAGGTTCCTTTGTTGCAATTTAAATCAGTTATTTTTGTGCTTGGTTGGGTTGTGTTGGGCTTTTGTAATATATAATTTGAAGACAAAAGCTATTTTTCCCTGTCCTTTGTCTTTAAGTCCACAATCCCACTTTGTTCAGACGGTCCTGTTTTCACTGATTGTTTTGGTTGGCATCCTCTAGAACCTCTTCGGGTGTTCCAGATGGCTGTACAGTGGGGGCACCACACCAGGCACTGCTCCAGCTGCCACCTGCCAGCTCTAAGTACAGCAAAAAGATTATTTGATATGTCCTGCAGGCTTATCTCGTGTTTGTATGTGCCTGTATGACTCTTGCCTTTTTCACAACAGCATGATGTTGTTGACTCATCCTAACTTTGTGATCTAGAATAATCCCTAGCTACTGCTACCTTGTTATTTGTCCCCTGCCCTCTATTTGTATAATTAAATGCAGTTCCCTCCAATTGGCATTGCTGAATTTCACCCTGCTTTGTCAGACCATTTTTCCAGTGTAGCCAAGTCACAGTTAGTCTTAGCTTGAAGTCCTCAGAAACCTGAGCATGTATGTTCTCAGTTCCATCAGCCATCCCACTAAAAATTATGGAATCACAGAATGGTTTGGGTTGGAGTGGACCTTAAAGCTCATCCAGTTCCAACCCCCTGCCACAGGCAGGGACACCTTCCACTAGGGCAGGTTGCTCCAAGCCCCTGTGTCCAACCTGGCCTTGAACACTGCCAGGGATGGGGCAGCCACAGCTTCTCTGGGCACCCTGTGCCAGCACCTCAACACCCTCACAGGGAAGAACTGCCTAACGTCTAATCTCAGTCTCCCCTCTGTCAGTGTAAAGCCATGCCCCCTTGTCCTGTCCCTGCAGGCCCTTGTCCAAACCCCCTGTCCATGTTTCTTGTAGCCCCTTTAGGCACTGGAGCTGCTCTATGGTCTCCCTAGAGCTTTCTCCATGCTGAGCAAGCCAAACTCTACCTGTCTCCAGATCAGAGCCACTCCAGCCCTTGGAGCATCTTTGTGGCCTCCTCTGGGCTCGTTCAAGCAGGTCCACATCCCTCTTGTGTTGTTGTCCCCAGAGCTGGACTCAGGACTGCAGGGTGGGAGGGGGAGTGGGGAAGGAGGTTCTTACAAGAGTGGAGTAGAGGGGGGATTCTCATCTCCCTTGATCTGCTGGCCACGCTCCTTTTGATGTAGCCTAGCACACGGGTGGTTTCTGGGCTGTGAGCACATGCTGCAGGCTCATGTTGAGCATCTCATCAACCAGCACCCCCAAGTCCTTCTCAGGGCTGCTCTGTCCAGTCTTCAGGCAGCCTGTATTTGTGCTTGGGATCGCCCCAACCCAGGTGCAGAACTTTGTGCTTGGCTTGGTTGAACTTCATGAGGTTGGCATCAGCCCACCTCACAAGCGTGTCAAGGTCCCTCTGGATGGCATCCTTTCTCTCCAGTGTATCAACCTAACCACACAGCTTGGTGCTGTCTGCAAACTTGCCGAGGGCGCACTCAGTCCTGCTGATACATGTTGCCAGCAAAGATGTTAAACAGCATCAGTGCCAACACCGATCCCTGAGGAGCACCCCTCATCACTAGTCTCCACTTGGACATCAAGCCGTTGACCGCAACTCTCTGAGTGTGAACAGCCAGCCAATGCCTTTTCCACTAAGTCGTCCATCCATCACATCCATCCCTCTCCAATTTAGAGACAAAGATGTCGTGTGGGACAGTGTCAAATGCCTTGCACAAGTCCAGGTAGATGATGTCAGTTGCTCCTCCCTTATCAATCAGTGCCATGGCCCCATCATAGAAAGCCACCAAATTGGTCAGGCACAGTTTGCCCTTAGTGAAGCTGTCACCAATCACCCCGTTATTGTCCAAGTGCCTTATGAATCGGAGTACCCCAATACACATAGCACTGGGAACAATAGAAAGGTTTTCTTAAAATTGGGCAGATTCTATGTTCTACTTAAAACTTGCTTATTGTTACATTATTGTGAACTGGAATTTTTGTAGTCTGTAATTCCAGAATATAACATTCCTGCGGTAAGGGCTGTGATAAGACTGCTGTGAAAACGAGATACTTTCCTTTAAACTAACATAGACACTTCAATATAAATATGGGCAGTAACTTTTGAAAATTATTGCCTTGCTCTGCTTCTTTTACAGGACCAGGTGTCAGATACAGTGATTTTGCTATGTCACATCCGAAACCACCTCCTCTTGTCGGACAGCATACAGTGGAGATACTGAAAGGCACACTGGGGTATGAGGATGATGCCATAGAAGAACTGCTCCGCACCAGTGCTGTGGCTCAGCATGAGATCAGATAAGGAACATTAGCTACATTCCTTCACACTGAGTTCACCTTACTTTGTCCTCTCTTTGCTCCCTTCAGCTCCCCTAATGGGACTCAAAGAGAAGACATAATTTAATTCCTAATTTTCTTCCATGTGTGTTTGTATGATTTTAACACTGATGTATCAAATAAACAATCTCATACTGTCTGCGTGAAAGATTTTCTTGGGGGAGGGTAAATGTAGCTATACGGTCCTGTGTGGCTACTTGTTTTCTGTATTTCATATGGGAAATGGAGTTCTTATCATAATTACAGTAATTGCCTAAAGCGTTTGTCCCCAGAAAGGGATAATGTTAGTGAAAAGAAGCAGAACCTTTAAAATCTGTATGCTAGACTTTCCACTTGCAGAAAACTCCCTTGTACGATTATTCTAGTGGAAAATCAATCATGTACAAATTGGTGATTGATCTGATTGACTTTGAACAGAATTATCAGTCATGAAGTCTTTGTTCTTCTCTGGTTTAAATCATGGGTAGAGTAACCACTGCAAAACTCACTTCTGTTCCCTGGTATTCCAAATTACCAGTACGTCTTTATATTACATTGCATGGTCATAACAGTCCCAGCGTGTCCCAGCAGAAATAAGCTGAAATTGGCACAGTTCTTTAGTTATGAAATAAGCCTATTCCAAGACAAGTTGAGAGACAAACTATGATTGAATAGTCTTTTGTAATTTTATTCAGGAAGGCCCAGGGTACTGTTGGTTAAACATCGATCCACACAAAACCACATGGTGAATGTCAAATGCCAGAGCCTGCCAAGGCTTCTCAATCTGGTTCTGTGAGTAGGTAGCAATCCTTATCTCTGTCTTTAGCTGCCATTCAAAGCATCTTCTGCTATGGAGAAAACACAGGTTAAGATCTGTGCAAAACTTCTGACTCAGTGCCACCCTCATGATTAAAACATGGCAAGTGTTGACAAACCTGCCTCAAATGTAGTAATACTGTATCCTGCAGTAGGGTCACTCTGAAGAGTAGGGCACCATGCACTGTAGGAAGGTGGAAGATTTTGATCCGTGACAAATAGCAAGGAAGAGATTAAAGAAGAGTCATTTGTTCTGCACAAACCAATTTGGCAGTACTTCACTCACAGAAGATATGTCATGCTCCTCTATCGCAGTATATAACTTATAGCTAAAGTAAACTCAGCCTATGGGAAGGGCCTAGCCTTTGTTATGTGCACCCTGGGGGTGAGGCAAAGCCTTTCTGTTCCTAGAGCTGAATAAAACTAACTCAAATTGACACTCAACACATAATGTCCGCATTTCTCTCAAGTATCGGAAATGGGCCTGGCAATGGAACTGGCTTGTCACTTTGCTTCCACTCTAACAAACAACATCCTCTGTATTACATTTGAACTTCACAACTCTTCATTACCTTCTGGGGGAAGAAAAGAGGTTATTACATAATCAAATTGCAGTGGAACCCCACTGTGGTTGCTCATTTTTGAAGCCCAGTGTGTTTTGGTTCATTTGTTTGCTTGTTTTCTCTGTGGTTTTGTATTCTGTTTTTTCAGATCTTCTCTTTCTTTTTTTTTTTTTTTTCCCCTTTTTTTCCCTGTTTTTTTCTTCCTCTTGCACTGCATTCCTGGCACCAAACTCCATACTCCGTCCATGTGCTAAAGACATCATGAGATCCTGGAAGAGTGACTTCTAAAATAAATACAGAAATAAGTCTGAATTGAGAATAGGGACACCATAGGGGAAGAATTGAAACTGGATTGGAAGAGGTTTTGATGTAGTCCACCTTCCTTTTAATCTAAGGGGAACATCCTTTTCTTAATGAGAAAAGCAGTGTTTTGAATCCAGCTTCACATAAAACAGATAATCTGGGATTGAGTTGAACTTTATTTACTAATGAAAACTATCTAGTACTGTCAGATAACATTCACAAATACGTTTGCTGGTTTTACTTTATTAAGGGCTATTCCCATTTCTCAGAAACACATGCATAAAATACAGCAAAATATTGCTCAGTTTTGTTCAAGGATTTCTAAAAAATTACTTTTTTCTGTGCTTTTCCAGGCAATGGAAATAGCTAATCACCACGTATCCAGCTACAATAAATTGGCAGAGCTTCTTTGACTTGAACATAACAATGCTGGTTTAAATCAGCTGAATATCGGGCTATTAACTCCATAATGTATTTTGTGCAGAGCTCACACGCAAACAGTGTTTCCCTTTTTCTTTTTTTAGTGTTTTCCCTCTGCTATGTAGCTGACAGTCAAATGCCTAAAGGGATAATCGGAGTTGTTATTTTGTCTCACCTCTAGTACTTACTGCAGTAGGAGAAATCCAGATACCATTTCTCAGTGTTATACAGTCATACAGTCACACACAGGCTGTTGCTAACTCTTCTTCAAGTCAGAAATAAATGAAGTCTTCAAATAGGTGGCTGTGTGGGAGCCTAAAAAGCTTCCAAGATCTGATCATGAAATTTTGCCCTTTCACAAGGTTTAGTCCTTTGATTAATTTTTTTTTTGGGGTGAGTTGGAAGACAGTTAAATAATTGTCCTGATAATATCCAAGCTGTTATATAGTGCTCTTTTCCTTTAAAAATGAGCACACCAATGAAGAAAAAGAATATTTACAAAATTTACTGCATTCTTCCCAAGAATCTTCATGAATACGTGTCTCTGGAGTTCAATTGCGTTTTGACAATCTTGTACTTTCAAAATGGTTTTCTCTTGTACTGCGAAACTGGAAATCAACCATCACATGGGATTCTGGATCTCATAAACTGAGATCCCTCCAATTTCAAGGAAGGGATGTAGTTAGGAATGACTACACAGCTGCCTCTGGCAATGAATGTTTGTTTTTCACGGCTTAAATTGGAAAGGAATCTGCTGGTGCTGCCATGATGTGTGTGTGGTATTTGCTTTAATTTTACTTGATTTACACATCACTGTATTACTCACCTTATTAATATAAAGCTTCTCTTTATTAAAAAACAAGAAATAAGAAAGAGATCTAAGACATACCTGTTGTCTGGTTCAGAACTGAACCCATCTAAAGCTGTTTGCCAGGAAGCTATAACCACCATTGGAAAAGGAGGTTTCCATTTTGACATCTGTTCTGACTCCATGGTCCATGGCCCCTTTGGCTCCATTCTCTGCACAGGGGGATCCCATTGTTCTTGTATTATCTTCACCATGAAAAATGTTTCCTCAGCCCTCCTCATATAACGCGCTTCCTTTCTTTTCCGTGCAAGCTAGTAAAGTTCTTCACCAGGTATAAATCACCCAGAAAACTGCAAAATTGGTGGAGTCAGGCTGGTTTTGCATAGCCTGAGGATCTTGCTGAGGGATATTTTAATGCATCAAAAGAAAGTTGTCATCAACCAACAGGCAAATGGACAGTAATGGATTTTTCTTGTTCCTACGCAGATCATTTTCCTTGTATCCCTTCCCCAGAATCTTCCCAGACACTTGGGAAGTCCCTGCATGCTTGTCTGCAATGAGTACCCCAGAGCTGACGTTCAAAAGGAGGTCTTTTTTGATGAGTGACCAGGAGGAACCAGTTACCATTATCAGAAGCCCACCAGCCTCAGCAGCTATCCTGCCTATATGTAAAGGCCAGTGAAGCCATGTTCATGCGAAGATTGATCTGTTGAAAGGGATCACTTAATTGTGCTGGAAGGCAAATGCTCCTTCCTTCACAGGTTTATAAGATCAAAACCAACAGAAAATAATTTATTTTGTAATTTTATTTTTTTTTCTAATACAAAAACAAGCAGAGAAAAACATCCCCATTCTTGACTTACATACAAAATGTAAAGCTTCTCCTTTTTCAAGTTCATTGAAATAGAGGCTTTTGATGCCTGTTGATATTAATTGGGGTTTTGACCTTGCTTCTCCAAAGATTAAAGCTCAGCCAAAGATGTCTAATGACAATGTGCTGAGGCTAAAGTAGCAGTCAGAATAAGTCTTGCAGTGAGTGTGTGTGTCTACTCAATAACTGTGGAGAGCACTTTCATTAAGTTGTCATATAGCTCTGCTGCTTACGGAGTACTGTAAATCCTCAGCCTGGTGAACCTGGAGATTAAAGGCAGCTAGTCATCTCTATGACTAACATGGTCATGATTTCTTTTAATATCTAAATGACAAGACATAGTTAATCCTTTGACCTACCTAACATTATACCACTGTATTCAAACATATTTATTTCCCCAAAATGTATTTAATTGCCAAAAGACAGAGGGAAGGTAAAGTACTTTCAGAGTTCAGGAATGCTGGCACAGCTGCTCATATTTCATGTCAGTGACATTAAGCAGTGCCAGATACAGTACTTTTCTTAACTGCTTGTACATTGAGTTTAATGTGGCCTGGTGAAATGCTAAACGCTATTAGCTGGTGAAAAAAACAAACCCAACCAACCTCAGAGCAGTTCCTGCAGGATCAAGTAACCTCCCTACACAGAGGTCTGCATGATACTGCCCAATGTGATAAAAATACACTGATAAACAGTGACATAGTCGCCTTTTTAAAGCTGACAACCAATCAATTCAATTACTGTGTAGTTCTGTTGTGAGTGGAATTTGGACCAGACTTGTGAGAAAAATGCCCGGGATCACATATGCCAAGGACCCATGAAACTTTTGCAACAAAATCTCTTGTTTTAGCATGTCAAGTATTGAAGGGGTGGCCAAGCAAGGGTTGAGGTGGGGACAAGTTGTTAATGTTTAGGTTTTTTTCCATTCTCCAGAGCTATAGATAAAAGTCAATTAGCAAGCACCAATTAGCCCCGAGTTAAAAAGAAATCATAGGGTAGAGGGTGAACTAGACTGCCTGCCTTAAAAGGCCTTCATGATGCTCCAGTTTACAGTGAGCAGTGTCACAATACTAATTTACAAGGTACTCAGGGAAGCAGGCTGGGGAGGAGCCCACTTCAGTGCAATTGCTTCTGTGCTTCAGCTATTTCACTATTTGTCTATCTAATAAATACCTCAAACTAGCCAATAGGGCTTTAGAGTACAAGAAGAAATTTGAAGGTATGTAACTTGGTAGAGGAATGCATCTGTAGCTCTCATCTCTTGCACATCCATTTTAGGAGAAGCTAAAGTTTCACGTTAAAATGTTGCATATAGAAAAGCAGGGTAGTGTGTACGTTTCCCTCGGATGCTCTCTTCTCCTGGAGGATTGACAAAGGCA